CGGTCACCTCCAGACTGGATTATTGTAACTCGCTCTACGTGGGGCTGCCCGTGAGACTGACCCAGAAACTCCAGCGGGTGCAGAATGCCGCGGCGAGACTCCTTACGGGGTCCTTGCTGCGGGATCACATTCACCTACCACATCTGCGGGATCACATACCAGCTGCACTGGCTCCCGGTGGAGTACAGGATCAGATTTAATGTGCTGGTTTTAACCTTTAAAGCCTTATACGGCCTAGGACCCTCGTACCTATGGGACCGCCTCTCCTGGTATGTCCCACAGAGGAACTTACGGTCTTCAAACAAAAACATATTGAAGGTCCCAGGCCACAGAGAGGTTAGGCTGGCCTCAACGAGAGCCAGAGCTTTTTCGGCTGCGGCTCCAACCTGGTGGAACACTCTGTCACAAGAGACTAGGGCCCTGCGGGACTTGGCATCTTTCCGCAGGGCCTGCAAGACAGAGCTGTTCCACCAGGCCTTTGGCCAGGGCAAAGCTTGACTCCCTCCTTTGGCAATCCTCACAGAACTCTAGCCCAATGGTTGCCATTAATCTTATTTGAATTAATTTTATAATGAAATGATTTTAGAATGTTTTATCATTTTACTGTTGTTAGCTGCTCTGAGCCTGGCTTTGGCTGAGGAGGGCGGGATATAAATAAAATTTGTTGTTGTTGTTGTTGTTGTTGCAGGGGGTTGGGCTAGATGACCCTTGAGGGACCCTTCCAGCTCTAGGTTGCTCTGAATCCCCCTGGCATGTCTAGGTAGGGCTGGAAGAGTTCTCTGCCTGAAACCCCGGACAGCCCTTTCTGCTGGTCGTTGTGGACTACGCTCAGCTAGAGGAACCAATAGGTCAGACTCAGTCCTGGGCGTCTTCCCGTGTCCCTAAACTCTGTGCTTCTTTCCAGGTAAGCGGCCATCTGGACTACATGAAACAGATGGACACCATCCTGAAAGCCGTGGGTGTCAAAACGAAGCAGTGCCGCCTGGAAGAGGAGGGTAGCCTCACCACTCTCTCCACTGAGCTTGAGGAGGACAAGGAGCCGGTACCATGTGACGCTCAGGAAGAGCAATGCATCGTGGGAGAGGAAGGGCCCGGCGGTACCAATGAAGGCGACGTCAACGGTGATGACCGCTGGGTGTGGGAGCCGGTTTCCAGCCACAGTTCGGGCCCAAATGACCTCCCGCCGCCAGCAGAGGCGGTTTCTGGACAGGGTGAAATCTCTAGTGCCGCAAGGGACCAGGACGCAGCTGGGCTAGAAGAGCCTTTTCCCACCAGCTCCTCACATTCCCAAGAACTTTCCAGCTCCGCAAGCGCCCCTCTGACTCTCAGATAACATATGAGGCGCCGCAGCGTGATGGTTATTGTAGTGTTTGCACTGAGTCTCCCCATCAGCCCTTGCTGAAGTTTTCAAAGAACACCAAAGACTTGCCTTTGCAGGAGCAGGCCAAAAATCGATCTGCTAGGATTCTCTGTTCCGCAGCAGTCGTCCGGCCCTGAGAACACCAGCCGCAGAGCGTGATGGAAGTAATCTGTCCACGGTTGTTGTTTTCTATGGTGTTTGGTAACTGGGATGGGTGGGTGAGGAGGTGTCCTGCCCCCTGAGGATGGAAGCTTTCCACCTTTACTTGACAATGGCAAACAGCTCTCAATTTCTACTCATCCTTCCAGGGTCCATCGCTGTGCCTTACAGTAACTCACATTCCATAACTCCGCATTTGTATGAGGAAGCTTGTCCCTTTTGCCAATCCAGAACTCTCCTGAGGGGATGGGCCGTTGCACAGTGACCAAGCAGCCTGACATTAAGAGCTGCTTGACAGTGGAACGGACTCCCTTCGGAGGTTGTGGACTCTCCTCCTTTGGAGATTTTAAAGCAGAGCTTGGATGGCCATATCTCATGGATGCTTCAGTTGAGATTCCTGCATTGCAGGAAGTTAGGGTCCCTTCCAACTCTATTCCATGACATCTCCAGGTTAGTGGTGGGAATGTCCCCTGCCTAAAACCCTGGAGAGCCACTGCTGGTCAGCGTTGATAATACTGAACTAGATGGACGCAGTGATATAAGGCAGCTCCCTAGGTCCATAGACCATTATTCACAACGTTGAGGACTAGCACCTTGCACTGTTTTTAGAGAAAGAGCCATAGCTCAGTGGCAAAGCACCTGCAGAAAGTCCCAGCTTCAATCTAGGACACTGGAGACATAGCAAGGTTCATAGGAAAGAAGAAAATAAATATACCTCTTTTATTTATAACTGCACAGGTTGAAAGGACAAGGGGTTGGGTGGGGAGAGGGACAAAAGTTGTGATTTCTTCACCCCACCCCACCCCGGACATCCGCTTGCACAAACCACATCCGTTTGTTTTTCCTTAAGTAATTTCTCTGCAAGTCCTCTAAGGAAACTCCCAAGACGTATTCCCGATGTGACGTGCCCTGTTTCCCTGCTTGAGGCAAAATGGAAAGTGTCGCCCTGCCACCTCCATCAAAACATCCCTTACCTAGGTTGCGTGGCGGCGGCACAAAGCAGCAGAGGTGGCGATGGCGGGTTCCGGCGAGATCGTTCCATCTTGCTGGAAATTGGCGCCATTTCTCTGCCATTTCAAGGTGCTGCCTTGGGGCTTCCACTGCCCAGGGCAGCTGCTTCACCCTGCCTGTTGCAGGGGCTGGCCTTTCGTATCCCGTCAGGCTTCATACAACCCTTCAAGCTGTGGGTATCCTTGCTGAGGAAGAATGAGCAACACCCCCCCCCCGAGGGGCACAGTTTGAAGGCACAGAATTTAGCCAGCTTGCAGAGGAAGCTGAGCAGGTCTCGGTCGGGTTGGGGGTCTGAGATATATGGGGGGTGGCATTATGTTACTGGGAAATGCTCCGCCTCTGCCACATGTAAGAAAGGTGAAGGTGTCAGTATAATAAATAACAATTTTAAACGGTGGCTCTGAGTAAGACGAATTAAAGTCTTGAATCATTTTAATGCAATGGAATGAACCTGAGATTATATCCCCATGCGTTACGGGGTCTCACACCCTAGCTAGAGTGTCAATCAAAAGCCAGTTCTCCCCACGCATGAACATGAAAGCTCTAGCCTGGCCATTAGGCCTTGTTTCATTTCACGAGAAAGCTGTCATTCAAACAGGCCTCTCGCTGTTTTTAAATCCTCTTTACTGGTTGTTGTTGAAAGGGATTCTGGTTCCCATCGGCCCAGGATAGGAGGAGGGCTGGTCCCTGTTCTGCTTTGTGAATCACAAGAAACAGGTGGCCTACCGGGCAACGGAAAATGACTGCATCTGCTTCCTGCATTCTTAAGTGGACCCCCAGGTTATATGGCCAGTTTCACACGTGCAGAAAGTGAGAATTTGTACATAGGTGCAATCTAGATCGGGATGCAGTCTCTCCTGGGAAGCAGGAAGAGGTAAAATCAGGCTCACAGGTGCAGCCAGAAGCAATCTCTCGAGTCTTTCCACGCTGCAGCCAGATTTGGCACATACACAAACTGTAGGTGAATCTGTGTGGCTCCATACAAAGGCGGCTTAAACCTTTATACAGCATACTCCTCAAATTGAAAGAAAGTGCCAGAAGACAAGTAAGACCCAGCAAATCAATTTGGGGAGAAATAAAGCTCCTTGGAGGCCCTTTTACAGAAATTAAGGCGGTCTTTTCTTAGCAGGATCTAGGCGTTCCTTCTTTTAAAACACAGAACACACACCTCTCACTCTGCTGTTTCTGAAAATTGATAGAGATATGCAAACTGAAGGAGATAAGGTTAGCAAACCACATCATGGAGAAGCAGGGCAGGGCAGGGCAGGGCGGGAGAGAGAGAGAGAGAGAGAGAGAGAGAGAGAGAGAGAGAGAGAAGCAAGCAAGCAAGTTCAGATTCCCTGCATGGAACTCCCAAGCTATATCACCTATGCAAGAACTGACACTGGTTTCTTAAGAGGGTGCAGACACAGACTGGCCTCCCTCACACCTGGTTTAAAAAATAAATAAAAATAAAATAAATAATAATAAATAGTTGTTTTTCGAATCAAAAACCCTGGGATCAATTTATGTGTCAGAAGAGGAGCATTTATGTTGTTCTGCCAAGAAAGATTTCCAGTTCACGTACACAACGATATAAATATAAATCCTTGAACAGGGATTGTCAATTTCATTTTGTCTCAGTTTTCCCATCTGACGTTTGATTTGCTCCATTTCTGCATATGTTGGTGGTTGTTTTTTTTTTAAGTCTGCATGAAGATTAGTACATATTTTTCCTATAAAAATTGCATGTCTGAATTGAGCCCCCTGAGAGGACGGGAAGATGAGTAGCTCTGAGGAAGTGTCCTGGATTTCCTGGTTCTGTGGCTTGCGTGGCAATGAGTTCTTCTGTGAGGTAGATGAAGATTACATCCAAGACAAGTTCAACCTGACTGGCCTCAATGAGCAAGTTCCCCACTATCGCCAGGCCTTGGATATGATCCTCGATTTGGAACCAGATGAGGAGCTTGAGGACAACCCTAACCAGAGTGACTTGATTGAACAGGCAGCTGAAATGCTCTACGGCCTCATCCATGCCCGCTACATCCTCACAAACCGTGGAATTGTCCAAATGCTTGAGAAATACCAGCAAGGAGACTTTAGTTACTGCCCCCGAGTTTATTGTGAGAACCAGCCCATGCTGCCCATTGGCTTATCTGATATCCCAGGGGAGGCCATGGTTAAACTTTACTGCCCTAAATGCATGGGTGTCTACACCCCCAAATCTTCCCGCCACCATCACACAGATGGGGCCTATTTTGGGACAGGCTTCCCCCACATGTTGTTTATGGTGCACCCTGAGTATCGGCCGAAACGACCTGCTAACCAATTTGTGCCCAGACTTTACGGATTCAAGATCCACCCTATGGCTTACCAGCTGCAGCTTCAGGCCGCCAGCAATTTTAAGAGCCCAGTCAAAACTATTCGTTGATCTTCTACATCCAGGTGCTCAGGGTCCTTCCCTGATAACTCCCTTTACCCCAGTCAGGGCTGCTCATACTTTGTTTTGATGAAATCCCCTGCAGATTATTTTGTCACTCTCCAGCCTGATTTTTAGTCTCATTTCTGGTGTGTGGTTTAAATTAATAATATAGAAAATGTTTTGAATGCAGTTTTTCCTAATGGATGCTTCTTTGCAAACGGCCTCCCCTAACGGAATGCCATTCCTGTATGCTTTAGCTAAACATACACGGGTTTTTGCATGCGCTTCACGCTAATGCCTGCACACTCGTGCGCCCGATCTTTGGTTGGAGAGAAACCGCTTCAAAACTCCGGAGAGATGCAAGTTTGGAAAATTCACTGCATTTCAGTTTGCACGTTTGTTTGAGAAGCACATCTCTGGTAGGTCTGCATGAAAATACGGCTGAACAAGAAGCATCTCCCATTCCTGCTGCCTTTATATCCTCCTCCCTCAAAAAACTCCATCTCTCGATGGTTCCCTCGTTCTGCCGTGCTTCTGCTTAGCTGTTGTGCCTCACACAGAGTCGAGAGCATCTGACCGTTTGCCACTGCAAGCTCAACACCATGTCTGCCTGCAGCAGATTCTTCTTCCTAGAGCTCTGAAGAACAACAGCCCTGCAGGATCAAACCAGAGGCCCAACCACTGTGAGAAACCAGCAAGTCGGATCTGAACACAAGAGTACACTCTCCCCTCCGGTGGCTTCCAGCAACTGCTTTTCAGAACCATCACTGCCTCCAACCGTGGAGGCGGAAAACAGCCACTGTGGCTCATAACCATCGGCTGCCTTACCCTCCTTCACAAATTGGTTCAATCCTCTTTTAAAGCCAGCCCGGTCATTGGCCACGCCTGCCTCCTATGGAGCAAGTTCCATAGTTGAACCACACAAGGTCCTTTGCGAATGTCTAGGGCAGCTGGGAAGCCCGGACAGGCCGTCCTCAGTCCATGGGGGTATTGAGATGGTGGATACGGAGCTCCTGCTCCATGGCTTGCTCCAAGTTGAAAAGCATCACCGAATCGGCCCCCGTGGCTGGGAGGGACCCCAGGCGCTGACCGCAGTCGTCATGGACTTGGGTGACGGAGTCGGCCGAGTCCGTGTCCCCCGGGAGCGCCAGGACGTTCTTGAGGGACGTGCCGGGCCGGGGACCACTGTTTGAGTTCCTCATGGAGAGCGAGATGGGGCTGGGACGGCGGTCCCAAGCCCCCCGGCAGCAAGGCAGGTACTTTGCCATGGCCCTCTTGAAGTCCCGCATGAAGAGCGGGTAGATGATTGGGTTCATGGTGCTGTTGCAATAGCCCAGCCAGGTCAGGGTGTCAAAGAAGTCCTCCGAGACGCACTTGCAGACTGCCTGGAGGGAAGGAAGAACACGCAGGGTTAATGTTACGGGACTTCCTTTCCTTTTCCTGTAAAACATCGCCAGGCATAAAGTTCAGTCTCCCAAAAGCAAATGCCTGTGCAGGTGTTAAGTCTTGCATGCAGTCATCTGCAGGGCATCAAAAGAGCCTTTTTGGATAACCTTTTGCATTCTGCATACATCTCCCACCCACGTGGTGTACATCAATCTAAAGCGCTAAGGGAATATCTTCATCGTGGCCACTGTGGCTGAGACAGACGGGAGATAACTGTACTATTGTTAACGAAACGATAAAAATCGCGACCATGGTGAGTCAAACCCACTTCTTTTGTAGATTGCCCTAGCCCAACGCACTAATCACTACACCACACTGAATCATAGAGCTGAATACAAGCCCATGGAAAGCGATTCCACCACCAGACATGGTTCTGGAGAGCTTTCCTGGACCCCAGGACTTACCTGGGCCACGTTACAGACGAAAAAGGGCAGCCAGGCCACGAAAAACATCCCCAAAAGGACGCCCAAAGTTAGGCTGGCCTTCAGGGCTCTCTTGCTGTGCTTGTTGGCAAATTTTCGGGTGTCACTCATGGCCGTCGATTGGCTGTGAACTCTGTGGACCTATGAAGGGAAAAGGCAAGAGGGTGCATGAGAAAGAGAGAGGCACACATACACAAATGTGCTCCTCGTTCCTGATCAGATTAGAGGACGGCTCCACTTCTCAAAAGCTATATTTGAGTCGACAGTGTGGTGCAGCATCAAAAAAGGCTAATGCAATCCTAGGTTGCCTAGTGGTACCAGTTCTGCGTACAGTCAGACCTCGGTTCCTGAACGACTCCATTTTGAAACGTTTCAGCTCCCGGACACCAAAAATCCGGAAGTAAATGCTCCAGTTTCCTAACGTTTTGGGAAGCCAAATGTCCGACGCGACTTCCGCTTGAGTGCAGGAAGCTCCTGCAACCAATCAGAAGCCACGCCTCAGTTGTCAAATGTTTCAGAAGCTGAATGGGATTCTGGAACGGATTATGTTCAACAACCAAGGTTTGACTACCACAATTTAAGAAGGATGCAGTATTGACAAGCTGGAATGTGTGTCGAGGAGGGTGGCCAAGATGATAAAGGGTCTGGAAACCAAGCCTTGTGAGGAATGGCTGAGGGAAGTGGGTATGTCTAGTCAGGAGCAGAGGAGACTGAGAGGTGATTTGATGGTCTTACTTCGCCAAACCTTTATTGGGCATTACAGATATGAAGGTCGTGGCTGACTCTGGGGTTGCGGCACTCATCTCGCTTTATTGGCCGAGGGAGCCGGCGTACAGCTTCCGGGTCATGTGGCCAGCACGACTAAGCCGCTTCTGGCGAACCAGAGCAGCACACGGAAACGCCGTTTTCCTTCCCACCAGAGTGGTACCTATTTATCTACTTGCACTTTGATGTGCTTTCGAACTGCTAGGTTGGCAGGAGCGGGGACCGAGCAACAGGAGCTCACCCCATCACGGGGATTCGAACCACCGACCTTCTGATCGGCAAGTCCTAGGCCCTGTGGTTTAACCCACAGCGCCACCCGTGTCCCTTATTACAGATATAGGCCATCATAAAACATCCATATATAAAATTTTAAAATATATACAGATAAACAGCCATGTAAAAATATGTAAGAATGAGGATTTTCATTGGAGTCTCTTCCAACTAAATAATGCTATTTGATAGTCATCTGTCAAGGATTCTTGAGCAGTGATTTCTGCATTGTTGGGGTATAGACTAGATGACTCTTAGGGTCTCTTCCAACTGTACAATTCCATTGTTCCTTCTACCCTCAATAGAAAGCAACCCAGACTCATGAAATCTAATTAATCCATCATACCTTTCAGCTCAGCCGTACGGTACAAGATTTTTGCTATTGATTACAGAGGCTTCTTAATTAGATTTCTTTCTCTTTTTCCAAGCCTTGAATATTTCAGTTGGCAAATCATAGGCTCTCTCTTTCTCCCAGCAGTCAATTGTTATCACTGCATCATCTCTAAATTAAATAAACCCTGATTTTGGTGGGGGTTACACTGCCGAAAAAAATCCAGCATGCAAAAACACCCCAAGGACTTATTTCCTCCATATTATTTTGTTTTGCAAATTAAAGTTTTTATTTAATGTGTCTAGAGGCACAATTTAGGGATGTGTTTCTTCATCTCCATGGTCCAGAACAATAATACTTTACTTCGTGAATACAGAATGTAATGAAAACACACACACACACCCTCTGTCATTGACAAAGAGTCTAAGAAGTTGTCCACTCCCCTTTTTAATGTAACCAAGTTAGTGGCCCCCTTCATGGATCACTGCCTTGCCGTGGCGAAGGGGCTTGAAGAACTCAGAGAAGCTATGAACTACGCCGAGCAGGGCACACAAGATGAACAGGTCATAGTGGAGAGTTTTGACCAAACGTGATCCACCTGGAGGAGGAACCGGCAAGCCACTCCAGTATCCTTGCCAAGAAAACTCCATAGACAAAGACAACAGGCATATAAAAGTTATGACGCTGGAAGATGAGCCCCTCAGGTCGGAAGGTGTCCAACATGCTACTGGGGAAGAGCGGAGGGCAAGTACAAGTAGATCCAGAGCTGATGAAGCGGCTGGGCTAAAGCCGAAAGGACGTTCAGTTGCAAATATGCCTGGAAGCGAAAGGAAAGTCCAATGCTGTAAAGAAAAATATTGCATAGGAACCTGGAATGTAAGAACCATGAACCTGGGTAAGTTGGAGGTGGTGAAAAATGAGATGGCAAGAATAAATATTGACATCCTGGGCATCAGTGAACTAAAATGGACGGGAATGGGCGAATTCAGTTCGGATGACCATCACATCTACTACTGTGGGCAAGAAACCCGTAAAAGAAATGGAGTGGCCCTCATAGTCAACAAAAGAGTGGCGAAAGCTGTACTGGGATGCAATCTCAAAAATGATAGAATGATCTCGATACGAATCCAAGGCAGACCTTTTAACATCACAGTAATCCAAGTTTATGCCCCAACTACTGGTGCTGAAGAAACTGAAATTGACCAATTCTATGAAGACTTACAACACCTTATAGAAGTGACACCAAAGAAGGATGTTCTTCTCATTATAGGGGATTGGAATGCTAAAGTAGGGAATCAAGAGATAAAAGGAACAACTGGCAAGTTTGGCCTTGGAGATCAAAACGAAGCAGGGCAAAGGCTAATAGAGTTCTGTCAAGAGAACAAGCTGGTCATCACAAACACGCTTTTCCAACAACACAAGAGACGACTCTACACATGGACATCACCAGATGGGCAGCATCGAAATCAGATTGATTATATTCTCTGCAGCCAAAGATGGAGAAGCTCAATACAGTCAGCAAAAACAAGACCTGGAGCTGACTGTGGCTCAGATCATCAGCTTCTTATAGCAAAATTCAAGCTTAAACTGAAGAAAGTAGGAAAAACCACTGGGCCAGTAAGATACAATCTAAGTCAAATCCCTTATGAATACACAGCGGAAGTGAGGAACAGGTTTAAGGATTTAGATTTGGTGGACAGAGTGCCTGAAGAACTATGGATGGAGACTCGTAACATTGTACAGGAGGCAGCAACAAAAACCATCCCAATGAAAAGGAAATGCAAGAAAGCAAAGTGGCTGTCCAACGAGGCCTTACAAATAGCGGAGGAGAGAAGGCAAGCAAAATGCGAGGGAGATAGTGAAAGATACAGGAAATTGAATGCAGATTTCCAAAGAATAGCAAGGAGAGACAAGAAGGCCTTCTTAAATGAGCAATGCAAACAAATAGAGGAAAACAACAGAATGGGAAGAACCAGAGATCTGTTCAAGAAAATTGGAGATATGAAAGGAACATTTCGTACAAAGATTACCATAATAAAGGACAAAAGTGGTAAGGACCTAACAGAAGCAGAAGACATCAAGAAGAGGTGGCAAGAATACACAGAGGAATTATACCAGAAAGATATGGATTCTCGTACACCCCAGGTAGTGTGGTTGCTGACCTTGAGCCAGACATCCTGGAAAGTGAAGTCAAATGGGCCTTAGAAAGCACTGCAAATAACAAGGCCAGTGGAAGTGATGGTATTCCAGCTGAACTATTTAAAATTTTAAAAGATGATGCTGTTAAGGTGCTACACTCAATATGCCAGCAAATTTGGAAAACTCAGCAGTGGCCAGAAGATTGGAGAAGATCAGTCTACATCCCAATCCCAAAAAGGGCAGTGCCAAAGAATGCACCAACTACCGCACAATTGCACTCATTTCACACGCTAGCAAGGTTATGCTTAAAATTCTACAAGGAAGGCTTAAGCAGTATGTGGATCGAGAACTCCCAGAAGTGCAAGCTGGATTTAGAAGAGGCAGAGGAACCAGAGACCAAATTGCAAACATGCGCTGGATTATGGAGAAAGCTAGAGAGTTCCAGAAAGACATCTACTTCTGCTTCATTGACTATGCAAAAGCCTTTGACTGTGTCGACCACAGCAAACTATGGCAAGTTCTTAAAGAAATGGGAGTGCCTGATCACCTCATCTGTCTCCTGAGAAATCTCTATGTGGGACAAGAAGCTACAGTTAGAACTGGATATGGAACAACTGATTGGTTCAAAATTGGGAAAGGAGTACGACAAGGCTGTATTTTGTCTCCCTGCTTATTTAATTTATATGCAGAATACATCATGCGAAAGGCTGGGCTGGATGAATCCCAAACTGGAATTAAGATTGCCGGAAGAAATATCAACAACCTCAGATATGCAGATGACACAACCTTGATGGCAGAAAGTGAGGAGGAATTAAAGAACCTTTTAATGAGGGTGAAAGAGGAGAGCGCAAAATATGGTCTGAAGCTCAACATCAAAAAAACGAAGATCATGGCCACTGGTCCCATCACCTCCTGGCAAATAGAAGAGGAAGAAATGGAGGCAGTGAAAGATTTTACTTTTTTGGGCTCCATGATCACTGCAGATGGTGACAGCAGCCACGAAATTAAAAGACGCCTGCTTCTTGGGAGAAGGGCAATGACAGGCCTAGACAGCATCTTGAGAAGTAGAGACGTCACCTTGCCAACAAAGGTCCGTATAGTTAAAGCCATGGTTTTCCCAGTAGTGATGTATGGAAGTGAGAGCTGGACCATAAAGAAGGCTGATCGCCAAAGAATTGATGCTTTTGAATTATGGTGCTGGAGAAGACTCTTGAGAGTCCCATGGACTGCAAGAAGATCAAACGCATCCATTCTTAAGGAAATCAGCCCTGAGTGCTCACTGGAAGGACAGATCGTGAAGCTGAGGCTCCAGTACTTTGGCCACCTCATGAGAAGAGAAGACTCCCTGGAGAAGACACTGATGCTGGGAAAGAAGGAGGGCATAAGGAGAAGGGGGTGACAGAGGACGAGATGGTTGGATAGTGTTTTCGAGGTTACCAGCATGAGTTTGACCAAACTGCGGGAGGTAGTGGAGGACAGAGGTGCCTGGCGTGCTCTGGTCCATGGGGTCACGAAGAGTCGGACACGACTAAACGACTAAACAACAACAAGTTAGTGGCTGTCGCTGCCTCCTGCAGGTGTGAATTCCATAGTTGTGTGGAGAAGTACTTTCTTTTCTCTTGTTGCTATTGCACTC